GCTTGCCTGGTCCAGGAGCTTGCCTGGGCCAGGAGCGTGCATGGTCTAGGAGCTTGCCTGGTCTAGGAGCTTGCTTGGTCCATAAGCCTACCTGGTCCAAGAGCTTGACTGGTCGAGGAGCATGTCTGGTCCAAGAGCTTGCGTGGTCCACGAGCTAGCTTGGTCCAGGAGCTTGCTTGGTCAAGAAGCGTGCCTGGTCCAAAAGCTTGCGTGGTCCACGAACTTGGCTGGTCCAGGAGCTTGCTTGGTCCAGAAGCCTGCCTGGTCCAAGAGCTTGCGTGGTCCAGGAGCTTGCCTGGTCCACACGCTTGCCTGGTGCACGAGCGTGCCTGGTCCACGAGCTTGCGTGGTCCAGGAGCTTGCCCGATCCAGGAGCTTGCCTAGTCCATGAGCTTGCCTGGTCCATGAGCTTGCCTGGTCCACGAGCTTGCCTGGTCCAGGAGCTTGCCTGGTCCAGGAGCTTGCCTGGTCCAAGAGCTTGCCTGGTCCAGGAGCTTACCTGGTCCAGGAGCTTGCCTGGTCCATGAGCTTGCCTGGTCCAGGAGCTTGCCTAGTCCAGGAGCTTGCGTGGTCTAGGAGCTTGCCTGATCCAGGAGCTTGCCTGGTCCAGGAGCTTGCCTGGTCCAACAGCTTACCTGGTCCAAGAGCTTGCGTGGTCCTGGAGCTTGCCTCGTCCAAAAGCTTGCCTGGTCCAGGAGCGTGCCTAGTATAGGAGCTTGCCTGGTCTAGGATCTTGCCTGGTCCAGGTGCGTGCCTGGTCCACGAGTTTGCCTGGTCTAGGAGCTTGCCTGGTCCAAGAGCTTGCCTAGTCCAGGAGCTTGCCTGGTCCAGGAGCGTGCCAGGTCCAGGAGCTTGCCTGGTCCAGGAGCTTGCCTGGTCCAGGAGCGTGCCTGGTCCAGGAGCGTGCCTGGTCCAGGAGCTTGCCTGGTCCAGGAGCTTGCCTAGTCCAGGAGCTTGCCTGGTCCAGGAGCTTACCTGGTCCAGGAGCGTGCCTGGTCCACGAGCCTGCCTGGTCCAAGAGCTTGCCTGGTCTAAGAGCTTGCTTGGTCCAGGAGCTTGCCCGTTCCAGGAGCGTGCCTGGTCCAAGAGCTTGCTATGTCCAAGAGCATGCTTGGTCCCGGAGCTTGCCTGGTCTAGGAGCTTGCCTGGTCTAGGAGCATGCGTGGTCCAAGAGCTTGCCTGGTCCAGGAGCTTGCATGGTCCACGAGCTTGCATGTTCTTGAAGCTTGCCTGGTCCAGGAGCTTGCCTGGTCCAAGAGCTTGCCTGGTCCAGGAGCGTGCCTGCTCCAAGAGCTTGCCTGGTCTAGAAGCTTGCCTGTTCTAGGAGCTTGCCTCGTCCAGCAGCTTTCCAGGTTCAAGAGCTTACCTTGTCCAGGAGCATGCCTGGTCCAGGAGCTTTCCTGGTCCAGGAGCTTGCTTGGTCCTTGAGCTTGCCTGGTCCAAGACCTTGCCTAGTCCAAGAGATCGCCTAGTCCAGGAGCTTGTTTGGTCCAGGAGCTTGCCTGGTCCAAGAGCTTGCCTGGTCCACGAGATTTCCTCGTCCAAGAGCTTGCCTGGTCCAGGAGCTTGCCTGGTCCAGGAGCGTGCCTGGTCAAGGAGCTTGCCTGGTCCAGGAGCTTGCCTTGTCCATGAGCTTGCCTGGTCCAGGATCGTGCCTGGTCCACGAGCTTGCCTGGTCCAAGAGCTTGCCTGGTCCAAGAGCGTGCCTGGTCCGCGAGCGTGCCTGGCCCAGGAGCTTGCCTAGTCCAGGAGCTTGCCTGGTCCAGGAGCTTGCCTGGTCCAGGAGCTTACCTGGTCCAGGAGCTTGCCTGGTCCATGAGCTTGCCTCGTCCAGGAGCTTACCTGGTCCAGGAGCGTGCCTGGTCCACGAGCCTGCCTGGTCCAAGAGCTTGCCTGGTCTAAGAGCTTGCCTGGTCCAGGAGCTTGCCCGTTCCAGGAGCGTGCCTGGTCCAAGAGCTTGCTATGTCCAAAAGCGTGCTTGGTCCCGGAGCTTGCCTGGTCCAGGAGCTTGCCTGGTCTAGGAGCATGCGTGGTCCAAGAGCTTGCCTAGTCCAGGAGCTTGCATGGTCCACGAGCTTGCATGTTCCAGAAGCTTGCCTAGTCCTGGAGCTTGCCTGGTCCAAGAGCTTGCCTGGTCCAGGAGCGTGCCTGCTCCAAGAGCTTGCCTGGTCTAGAAGCTTGCCTGTTCTAGGAGCTTGCCTAGTCCAGGAGCTTTCCAGGTTCAAGAGCTTACCTGGTCCAGGAGCTTGCTTGGTCCTTGAGCTTGCCTGGTCCAAGAGCTTGCCTAGTCCAAGAGCTTGCCTAGTCCAGGAGCTTGCTTGGTCCAGGAGCTTGCCTGGTCCAAGAGCTTGCCTGGTCCACGAGATTTCCTCGTCCAAGAGCTTGCCTGGTCCAGGAGCTTGCCTGGTCCAGGAGCGTGCCTGGTCCAGGAGCTTGCCTGGTCCAGGAGCTTGCCTTGTCCAGGAGCTTGCCTGGTCCAGGAGCGTGCCTGGTCCACGAGCTTGCCTGGTCCAAGAGCTTGCCTGGTCCAAGAGTGTGCCTCGTCCACGAGCGTGCCTGGCCCAGGAGCTTGCCTGGTCCAAGAGCTTGCCCGGTCCAGGAGCTTGCCTGGTCGAGGAGCTTGTCTGGTCCAGGAGCTTGCTTGGTCCAGGAGCGTGCATGGTCCAGGAGCTTGCTTGGTCCAGGAGCTTGCTTGGCCCAGAAGCCTGCCTAGTCCAAGAGCTTGACTGGTTGAGGAGCGTGCCTGGTCCAATAGCGTGCGTGGTCCACGAGCTAGCCTGGTCCAGGAGCTTGCTTTGTCCAGGAGCGTGCGTGGTCCAAGAGCTTGCCTGGTCCATGAGCGTGCCTGGTCCAAGAGCTTGCGTGGTCCAGGAGCTTGCGTGGTCCAGGAGCGTGCCTGGTCCACGAGCTTGCCTGGTCCACGAGCATGCCTGGTCCACGAGCTTGCATGGTCCAGGAGCTTGCCTGGTCTAGGAGCATGCGTCGTCCAAGAGCTTGCCTGGTCCAGGAGCTTGCATGGTCCACGAGCTTGCATGTTCCAGAAGCTTGCCTGGTCCAGGAGCTTGCCTGGTCCAAGAGCTTGCCTGGTCCAGGAGCGTGCCTGCTCCAAGAGCTTGCCTGGTCTAGAAGCTTGCCTGTTCTAGGAGCTTGCCTCGTCCAGGAGCTCTCCAGGTTCAAGAGCTTACCTGGTCCAGGAGCATGCCTGGTCCAGGAGCTTTCGTGGTCCAGGAGCTTGCTTGGTCCTTGAGCTTGCCTGGTCCTAGAGCTTGCCTAGTCCAACAGATCGCCTAGTCCAGGAGCTTGCTTGGTCCAGGAGCTTGCCTGGTCCAAGAGCTTGCCTGGTCCACGAGATTTCCTCGTCCAAGAGCTTGCCTGGTCCAGGAGCTTGCCTGGTCCAGGAGCTTGCCTTGTCCAGGAGCTTGCTTGGTCCAGGAGCGTGCCTGGTCCACGAGCTTGCCTGGTCCAAGAGCTTGCCTAGTCCAAGAGCGTGCCTAGTCCGCGAGCGTGCCTGGCCCAGGATCTTGCCTGGTCCAGGAGCTTGCGTGGTCTAGGAGCTTGCCTAGTCCAGGAGCTTACCTGGTCCAGGAGCTTGCCTGGTCCATGAGCTTGCCTCGTCCAGGAGCTTACCTGGTCCAGGAGCGTGCCTGGTCCACGAGCCTGCCTGGTCCAAGAGCTTGCCTGGTCTAAGAGCTTGCCTGGTCCAGTAGCTTGCCCATTCCAAAAGCGTGCCTGGTCCAAGAGCTTGCTATGTCCAAGAGCGTGCTTGGTCCCGGAGCTTGTCTGGTCCAGGAGCTTGCCTGGTCTAGGAGCATGCGTGGTCCAAGAGCTTGCCTGGTCCAGGAGCTTGCCTGGTCTACGAGCTTGCATGTTCCAGAAGCTTGCCTGGTCCCGGAGCTTGCCTGGTCCAAGAGCTTGCCTGGTCCAGGAGCGTGCCTGCTCCAAGAGCTTGCCTGGTCTAGAAGCTTGCCTCTTCTACGAGCTTGCCTCGTCCAGGAGCTTTTCAGGTTCAAGAGCTTACCTGGTCCAAGAGCATGCCTAGTCCAGGAGCTTTCCTGGTCCAGGAGCTTGCTTGGTCCTTGAGCTTGCCTGGTCCAAGAGCTTGCCTAGTCCAAGAGCTCGCCTAGTCCAGGAGCTTGCTTGGTCCAGAAGCTTGCCTGGTCCAAGAGCTTGCCTGGTCCACGAGATTTCCTCGTCCAAGAGCTTGCCTGGTCCAGGAGCGTGCCTGGTCCAGGAGCTTGCCTGGTCCAGGAGCTTACCTTGTCCAGGAGCTTGCCTGGTCAAGGAGCGTGCCTGGTCCACGAGCTTGCCTGGTCCAAGAGCTTGCCTAGTCCAAGAGCGTGCCTCGTCCGCGAGCGTGCCTGGCCCAGGAGCTTGCCTGGTCCAAGAGCTTGCGTGGTCCAGGAGCTTGCCTGGTCGAGGAGCTTGTCTGGTCCAGGAGCTTGCCTGGTCCAGGAGCGTGCATGGTCCAGGAGCTTGCTTGGTCCAGGAGCTTGCTTGGCCCAGAAGCCTGCCTAGTCCAAGAGCTTGAGTGGTCGAGGAGCGTGCCTGGTCCAATAGCGTGCGTGGTCCACGAGCTAGCCTGGTCCAAGAGCTTGCTTTGTCCAGGAGTGTGCGTGGTCCAAGAGCTTGCATGGTCCATGAGCGTGCCTGGTCCAAGAGCTTGCGTGGTCCAGGAGCTTGCGTGGTCCAGGAGCGTGCCTGGTCCACGAGCTTGCCTCGTGCACGAGCATGCCTGGTTCACGAGCTTGCATGGTCCAGGAGCTTGCCTGGTCCAGGAGCTTGCCTGGTCCATGAGCTTGCCTGGTCCAGGAGCTTGCCTGGTCCGGGAGCTTGCCTGGTCTAGGAGCTTGCCTGGTCCAAGAGCTTGCCTGGTCTAGGAGCTTGCCAGGTCCAGGAGCTTTCCTGGTCTAGGAGCTTGCCTGGTCCAGGAGCGTGCATGGTCCACGAGCTTGCCTGGTCTAGGAGCTTGCCTGGTCCAAGAGCTTGCCTGGTCCAAGAGCTTACCTGGTCTTAGAGCTTGCGTGGTCCTGGAAATGGAAAGCGGGAGAATGGGGCGGGGCGATGGAAAGCGGGAGAATGGGGCGGGGTGATGGAAGCAGGGAGAATGAGGCGGGGTGATGGAAGGAGGGAGAATGGGGCGGGGTGATGGAAAGCGGGAGAATGGGGCGGGGTGATGGAAAGCGGGAGAATGGGGCGGGGTGTTGGAAAGCGGGAGAATGGGGCGGGGTGATGAAAAGCGGGAGAATGGGGCGGGGTGATGGAAAGTGGGAGAATGGGGCGGGGTGATGGAAAGCGGGAGAATGGGGCGGGTGATGGAAAGCAGGTGAATGGGGCTGGGTGATGGAAAGCAGGAGAATGGGGCGGGGTGATGGAAAGCGGGAGACTGGGGCGTGTAATGGAAAGCGGGAGAATGGGGCGGGGTAATGGAAGGAGGGAGAATGGGGAGGGGTGATGGAAAGCGGGGGAATGGGGCGGGATGATGGAAAGCGGGAGAATGGGGCGGGGTGATGGAAAGCGGGAGAATGGGGCGGGGTGATGGAAAGCGGGGGAATGGGGCAGGGAGATGGAAAGCGGGAGAAAGGGGCGGGGTGATGGAAAGCGGGAGAATGGGGCGGGCTGATGGAAAGCAGGGAGAATGGGGCGGGGTGATTGAAGGAGGGAGAATGGGGCGGGGTGATGGAAGGAGGGAGAAGGGGGCGGGGTGATGGAAAGCGGAAGAATGGCGCGGGGTGATGGAAAGCGGGAGAATGGGGCAGGGTGATGGAAAGCGGGAGAATGGGGCGGGGTGATGGAAAGTGGGAGAATGGTGCGGGGTGATGGAAAGCGGAGGAATGGGGCAGGGTGATTGAAAGCGGGAGAATGGGGCGGGGTGAAGGAAGGAGGGAGAATGGGGCGGGGTGATGGAAAGAGGAAGAAGGGGGCGGGGTGATGGAAAGCGAGAGAATGGGCCGGGGTGTTGGAAAGCGGGAGAATGGGGCGGGGTGATGAAAAGCGGAAGAATGGGGCGGGGTGATGGAAAGCGGGAGAATGGGGCGGTGTGATGGAAAGCGGGAGAATGGGGCGGGTGATGGAAAGCGGGTGAATGGGGCAGGGTGATGGAAAGCGGGAGAATGGGGCGGGGTGATGGAAAGCAGAAGAATGGGGCGGGGTGATGGAAAGCGGGAGAATGGGGCGAGGTGATGGAAAGCGGGAGAAAGGGGCGGGTGATGGAAAGCGGGAGAATGGGGCAGGAGATGGAAAGCGGGAGAAAGGGGCGGGGTGATGGAAGGAGGGAGAATGGGGAGGGGTGATGGAAAGCGGGGGAATGGGGCGGGATGATGGGAAGCGGAAGAATGGGGCGGGGTGATGGAAAGCGGGAGAATGGGGCGGTCTGATGGAAAGCGGGAGAATGGGGCGGGGAGATGGAAACCGGGAGAAAGGGGCGGGGTGATGGAAAGCTGGAGAATGGGGCGGGCTGATGGAAAGCGGGAGAATGGGGCGAGGTGATGGAAGGAGGGAGAATGGGGCGGGGTGATGGAAGGAGAGAGAAGGGGGCGGGGTGATGGAAAGTGGGAAAATGTGGCGGGGTGATGGAAAGCGGGAGAATGGGGTGGGGTTATGGGAAGCGGGAGAATGGCGCGGGGTGATGGAAAGTGGGAGAATGGAGCGGGGTGATGGAATGAGGGAGAATGGGGCGGGGTGATGGAAGGAGGGAGAATGGGGCGAGGTGATGGAAAGCGGGAGAATGGGGCGGGGTGATGGAAGGAGGGAGAATAGGGCGGGGTGATGGAAAGCGGGAGAATGGGTCGGGGTGCTGGAAAGCGGGAGAATGGGGCGGGGTGATGGAAAGTGAGAGAATGGGGCGGGGTGATGGAAAGCGGGAGAATGGGGCGGGGTGATGGAAGAGGGGAGAATGGGGAGGGGTGATGGAAAGCAGGGGAATGGGGCGGGATGATGTGAAGCGGGAGAATGGGGCGGGGTGATGGAAAGCGGGAGAATGGGGCGGGGAGATGGAAAGCAGGGAGAATGGGGCAGGGAGATGGAAAGCGGGAGAAAAGGGGCGGGGTGATGGAAAGCGGGAGAATGGGGCGGGCTGATGGAAAGCGGGAGAATGGGGCGGGGTGATGGAAGGAGGGAGAATGGGGCGGGGTGATGGAAGGAGGGAGAAGGGGGCGGGGTGGTGGAAAGCGGGAGAATTGGGCGGGGTGATGGAAAGCGGGAGAATGGGGCGGGGTGATGGAAGGAGGGAGAATGGGGCGGGGTGATAGAAAGCGGGAGAATGGGGCGGGATGATGGGAAGCGGGAGAATGGGGCGGGGTGATGGAAAGCGGGAGAATGGGGCGGGGTGATGGAAAGCGGGACAATGGGGCACGGAGATGGAAAGCGGGAGAAAGGGGCGGGGTGATGGAAAGCGGGAGAATGGGGCGGGGTGATGGAAAGCGGGAGAATGGGGCGGGTGATGGAAAGCGGGTGAATGGGGCAGGGTGATGGAAAGCGGGAGAATGGGGCGGGGTGATGGAAAGCAGAAGAATGGGGCGGGGTGATGGAAAGCGGGAGAATGGGGCGGGGTGATGGAAGGAGGGAGAATGGGGCGGGGTGATAGAAAGCGGGAGAATGGGGCGGGATGATGGGAAGCGGAAGAATGGGGCGGGGCGATGGAAAGCGGGAGAATGGGGCGGGGTGATGGAAAGCGGGAGAATGGGGCACGGAGATGGAAAGCGGGAGAAAGGGGCGGGGTGATGGAAAGCGGGAGAATGGGGCGGGGTGATGGAAAGCGGGAGAATGGGGCGGGGTGATGGAAGGAGGGAGAATGGGGCAAGGTGATGGAAGGAGGGAGAAGGGGGCGGGGTGATGGAAAGCGGGAGAATGGGGCGGGGTGATGGAAAGCGGGAGAATGGGGCGGGGTGATGGAAGGAGGGAGAATGGGGCGGGGTGATGGAAAAGCGGGAGAATGGGGCGGGGTGATGGAAAGCGGGAGAATGGGGCAGGGTGATGGAAAGCGGGAGAATGGGGCGGGTTGAAGCTTGCCTGGTCCAAAAGCTTGCGTGGTCCACGAACTTGGCTGGTCCAGGAGCTTGCTTGGTCCAGAAGCCTGCCTGGTCCAAGAGCTTGCGTGGTCCAGGAGCTTGCCTGGTCCACACGCTTGCCTGGTGCACGAGCGTGCCTGGTCCACGAGCTTGCGTGGTCCAGGAGCTTGCCCGATCCAGGAGCTTGCCTAGTCCATGAGCTTGCCTGGTCCATGAGCTTGCCTGGTCCACGAGCTTGCCTGGTCCAGGAGCTTGCCTGGTCCAGGAGCTTGCCTGGTCCAAGAGCTTGCCTGGTCCAGGAGCTTACCTGGTCCAGGAGCTTGCCTGGTCCATGAGCTTGCCTGGTCCAGGAGCTTGCCTGGTCCAGGAGCTTGCGTGGTCTAGGAGCTTGCCTGATCCAGGAGCTTGCCTGGTCCAGGAGCTTGCCTGGTCCAGGAGCGTGTGTGGTCCACGAGCTTGCCTGTTCTAGGAGCTTGCCTGGTCCAAGAGCTTGCCTGGTCTAACAGCTTACCTGGTCCAAGAGCTTGCGTGGTCCTGGAGCTTGCCTCATCCAAAAGCTTGCCTGGTCCAGGAGCGTGCCTAGTATAGGAGCTTGCCTGGTCTAGGATCTTGCCTGGTCCAGGTGCGTGCCTGGTCCACGAGTTTGCCTGGTCTAGGAGCTTGCCTGGTCCAAGAGCTTGCCTAGTCCAGGAGCTTGCCTGGTCCAGGAGCGTGCCAGGTCCAGGAGCTTGCCTG